TTGAACAGTCTTAAGGGCGTGAGCACGGCCCTTAGACTTGCGCTTCACGCTGCTCGTGAACCCACACACCATGGCTGCAAGGCAAGTAAAACAAAAAAGTCAGAAATGAAAGTTAAAATAAAAAATAGAAGTAAGGCAGAGCTCGACTTACCGAGTTTGGAGTTTGGCCTCGAAGCTTCGATTGGACGAACTAAAGGATTGTAGTCCAACAACCCCGACTCTAGGAGTAGCTTGTCAGTCACCAAGGTTCCAATCTTCCGACCCCTTGGGAAATGGTCTTTGTAAAACTTGAGGGTGTCAAAAGAGGCTTGAGTGAGCTCGGGAATCGGTTTGATCGACACTGAACAAGACAGAAAAGATTCAAGTTAAACATGAAAAAAGAAGAACGGAAAAATTTAAAGATGTTAGCATAACGGCCTCATACCTAGGTTTCCAAACCTAACAGGCACGTCATATAAGGGACGACCTGATTCGTCCTTTGCCAGCCATTCACCTGAGGCAAAAAACCACTTCCCTACCCATCATTTGATGGAGGTCGGCCCCTTGACTATACCACCTGCGCCTTTCCTTGCGCACATATAGTACCGACCAGGCTTCTTAGCTATCCTTTTGGCTTCGAAGCATCCGAGAAGCTGCTCAACGTTCAGCAGCTCGGCCTCGTCCATGTCCCGAGCTCGCAACCAGAAAAGGATGGCCAACGCAAAAATGACGCCCCATCCGTTGGGGGCCACTTGAGCAGGAGCCAATCCAGTTCGGTTTAAGAACTCTTGGGCAAAAGGATGAAGAAGAAGTCTGAGGCCGTACTCAAACATTTTTAAGTAAAGAGTGACCCATCCCGCTGGAGGATTGTCAGCTCTTTCCCCTTCCTCCGAAATCCTAAGAAGGATGTTGTTTGGAATTTTGACTACCCTACGGAGGGGTCCGAGATAGTGCTCGGGAATTTTAGAAGGGTATTCCAAACCCTGGCTCGAGGTGGAAGTGTCACTATCCTCCCCATCGTCCGAAAATCTGAAGTTCTCTATCTCCTCCAGCTCGAACTCTAACATTAGAGCTAAGTTCTCCCCAGAATCACTTGGTTTGGGGGGCAAACTACTTATAGTCCGACCTGCGCTACCTAGGCTATCACTACTAGAAGGGGAAGACAAGAAAACTACCATATTTGAAAAAGAAAAGTAAAACAAGAATGACTGACCTACAGAAGGTTCGAGCTGGTTTCAGATCGAACTCCAAGAATTCAGGGAACGTAAGGTTTGACCTGAAATCTTGGAACTATTTATAGCTAATCGGAAAAACCTCTGCACCGTACACGTGTAATCAACGAGCGGCTAGGATCATCTTGAGATTCGTAACGACAGAATACTTGAGTGCTCCGACAACCTGGCAGATCGAAACATCTTCCGCAACGATCATATTCCTTCTACGAATTAAAAGTCGCCACGTGTCCAAAATGGAGTTGGATGGACTTCTCTGCCAGGTCGAGATCGAACCTGACAAAGAGGGGGCCAATGTTTGGGGGTAAAAATACCTAGGACACGTGGAGGACACTTATTGGTGTTTGAGGAATTGAATAAAAGGAATTGCCCAGGTCCACCTCGGCCCTACCGAGGAGACCAGGTTCGCCCATTACAAAAGGCTAAGTATAGATGTCAAGGTTCGACCTAGCTGGGGCTCGATCTACTCGGAACCCGACAGGTCCGATTTGAGAAAAAACATGTAACCGCCGGTCGTGTGTACTGTCGGATCGACCACCTATAAATAGAGGGCCTCATTTCACGCTCAGGTATCGAATTTCACCTCGAACTAAATACGGAGTCTGATCTATACTGACTTGAGCGTCGGAGAGTTTACCCTCTTGTGTAGGTTCACTCTTGGGTTCAGGTCGAGCCAAGGACCGAGTTCGAGCTAGGTTCATAGAACAGCGTTGTGCAACTCTTTGTATAAACAAAAAATATTTATTTAGAGTGCTTTTCAATGAAATATTTAATTACCAGAAGTGTTTACAAAACAAATACTTGCGCTTGAAAACATAAAAGGGGAAGGATAGCTAATATTTTGGTTCCCATCTTTTCTTAAATCAAACTTCTAAGATGATTCTCCTTTAGTTATATTTGAAATTTTCAAAAAAATTCATTTTTTTCCGTCAACTTTCTAAGTTTATTTTATTTCGATTCTTAAAAACTTTTAAACTAGTCTATTAGTCTATAAATTTTTAAAAATAATTATTTTTGTCTTTTATCTTTATTTTACAATTAATAAATATGCATAATATAACTTCCAGTATCTAGTATCTATATTAGTATGCTAAGCCATGTATTAAAGTCTTTAAACAATTTTGAAAAACCAGACCAAACCATTGGATTGGTTCGAATTTTTTATTTTATTGATTTTTTATACACTCTCTGTTTTTTAATACAACATGTGGGGGTGGGGAATAACTCACAACCTCTCGGTTGAAGATATATGTCAATTACCACTGAGCTGGCTTCACTTTTGTACACCCCTCTTGCCATTTTAGTTACGAATTGAATTTTGAACATTAATGACATAGATGTCTTATATACTAAGTTATTATTCTATTAGTAAACCATATTGCATCTACAAAAGAATAGAAATTTGGATATCGAGTGCAATAACTCAAAATTTATTTTTTTTGGCATCATACAATATGAATCTTGATAACAAAAAGGTACCAAAATTATGAGTGCACACTCAAATGGAAAAATCCTCTTGGAAACACCCTTTTAATTTGAGGTACTAAATTTGAATGAGCAGTTTGTCTCTCAACATTTCTTCTCTCCATCTCTTGTTCACCTTAGCTATGAACTCTTCTATCCTCTTCTCCAATTCCTCATTTTCCTCCTCCTCTTCCTCTCCCTCCTCCTCCTCGAATTGCTCGGTTTCACTTTCATCATCAACTTCCTCATCTTCGTCTGAATTGCCATCGCCATCGCCATCGCCATCGCCATGGCCACGAATTTGTTCGGTGTCTCGTGGGATATGATAGGGAGATTGAAGCAGAGAAGGATGAAGTTGGCTCTCAAGGTTTTGTTGATGAGGTGATGGTGGCTTGTGGTTTCTCACAGTTATGAGAAGAACTATGGAGTTGAAGATTGTGAACATAAAATGAGGACTGCCCAATAAAAGATGAGAACTTACAAAAAATTGAGATGATTTTGATGATGTCACCCACACAAGAAGCAGCAATATAAGTATCAATGCCACCATAATTTTGAACCCCATTTTTTTTCCTTTTGAGTCCCTAAAAACTCTTGCTCCCATCCATATTTATATTTCCCTAAATACATTGTTTAATCTTTTAAAACTTTTTAATTCCATTCTTTTATGTGTTTTTCCAATCAATTCTTTGACATCACTTGATGACAAAAGGAAAATGGCATGTGAATTTAGAAAGAGCTTTTTTTTTTCTTAATCTTTTGGGCTGAATATGTCAAATGGCTTCCTCTAGATCCTCTGGATAATCCTAATTTAATTCTTAAATTTTTAATTAATTAACATATTTTTGTACCGCTGTTCTGGATGGTACTTCATATAAGAGATCTAATTTCTTTTCATCAACAAAATTCAACCTACCCATCAACAAAATTATTTTTTTTTTCGAATGGTATATCTAGAATGTATACCCAAATATTCAAATATGTTAATAAAACAACAATAGAATTTGAAAAGAAAAATAAGGACAAAATTGATCAAAATTAGCTAAAAGATTAAGGATATACACTTTGGTACCTTTAGCTTTTCTAACGAGTTTGTCATCTGTCAGTATAATAGCGTTTTTTCACCGTAGTATAATAGCATTGTTAATGGTCTATTTTTAAAATATCAACGAGTTATTTCAAATTTATATAAGTTACTAATATTTATATCATAATATCATAATATGAAGTATGCCTGAGAGATAGTTTGGGTGGCTTGGGACCTCGGGAAATATCTTTGAGGTTTTGAGTTCAAGTCATATGGACTCCACCAAGCAATGACCTTTTGTGTATGTACGGGTCACCGGCTCTTGGATTTTCAAAAAGAAATATCATAATATGAAGTAGGTAGTTTTTTTCTTTTATTTAAATTGAAATTTCTAAAAATGAGGCAACCCCATGATTATTTATTTAGTTGCTTAAATTGGATTGGATTGTTTTTTTTTTCTTTTATGTAAGTGGATAGAATGTTATATGGCTACATTTTTGTGAAGTAATGAAAGCTTCCAAGCATAATATGGGCAGAAAATGGGATTTCTTATTGCAGTAAAATATAAGCAAAATCAGATCCATTATTCTAGCATTAACATATGGCCTATACTATACCCTTAATTTTGCTCCTTTTTTGAGGAAGCTGACAAAATTTTTATATTCTTGGCCTTGAGACTTTTCCTAAAGAAACAAAACTTACCCAAATAGGGGAATCCAATTCCTTTAAACCCCATGTGCCTTGGATTTTAAGAAACCCCCTTTTCAAATCATGAGTTAAACATCATTATCCCATTTCGGTATTGGGATCCGAACATCGTCTCATGTCGATTGAAAATGAGGAATGTCTTAGATTTATAGTTTATGAGGACAGTATCTCTATTAGTACGAAGATTCGAAAACAAAACTATGTGGACTTAGACTTAAAAGGGGAGATCAGTGTCGTGCTAGTTTAGAGAAGGAGTGTTACAGAATGTTTCGATATATAATTTTTGAATAGAAGATAGTTTGTTTTGAATCCTTTTAAGGATTTCTTCTAAGGGTGTAAGTGGGTTGGAACGAGAGCGATGGACGTTGGCTTCCACAACTGTTGCTTTTTATATATTTTTGTGTCTTGAGAGCTGATCGATCGTTACACTAAAGATTTCCATTGAACTATTGGAGTTATCGAGAGAGTACCGAAAGATGTAGGTAACCTACTTTCGAACTAGTTCAGTCGAATAATTTAATGAGTGGAATGCTGAAACTTTAATAAGAAAAGAATTTAAAACAGAGAAATATCCCAGAAAACTAAATCCATCAATGCAAAGAAGATTGGATTCACTATAATTCTACATTACACAACAGCAGCTGCAGCCTAAAGAATCTATCAGTTACTATCTGAAACTGAAGGAAAAATATCAAAACCTGATGAACAAGAACAGAAACAGATGCTGGGTGGTAAAAAATAGTCAGCCCGATCGATGTAAAAACAAACAATGATGCCTGCCCAAATCGAAGCTCGATGGTGATGTGGTCAGTGACGGTCGAACAATTAGATACCGGTTTTCGTTAACCACTGGTTAGAGATACATTGATATCAGTTGGCTGCCTTCTCAAATCTGGAACCAAAGGGGACCAAGTCTCGGCACGAAACGAAGACGTTGTTGTCGGTGTTGTTGTCGTTGTTGTCGTCGTGTATGATTTGGGTTCAGCACTGGAGATTGGGAGAGCAGAAACCGGTAATATGACGTCCTGTTTCGGTTTCTTTGGCTTTTGCTCATGTTGGTTCCCAGACAAGAAGCTTCCTACTACCACCTGCATTTGTCGAGTTTAAATTACAAGTTTGGTAACAACACGTTTGGATTGTATCTATTTAGTCTTTATACATTAAAACATTTTTAATCGGTCTACAACTTTCAAAATTCTGTCTAATATCTGATTCCTATACTTTAAAAAGTTTATAACATGTGTGAACTTTAAATTTTGTGTCTAATAGGTTCCTACCGTTAACTTTATGAATTTAACATTTATATGTCATGTTGACTCAGTTACATAACTAAAGATTATATGACAAATTGATATCGAACAGGTTAAACGTTAACCATAATTTCTAGTATATGAACTAGATAGACATTCTTATGAACACTAGATAGAAATTTATTTCACTAAATATGAAACAAGGATGTAGAGAAAGAGATCACATACTTGAATAGGAGTTGCAGCTACTAACAAACCAGCAACTCCACCACCAACGATGCGCCCGTCGGGACTCGCTAAAGAAACACTCATCCCACCGGATCTACTCTTGGTTCCCGCACGATCGTTCGGCATGAACGATCCCGACAATGACAATATCTCGAAACGACCCTGCAAGGGAGAAACAGAGGTCGTTTGGATTCTCATCAGCTTAGCAGCAACAGACAAACCATAATGTCATTGAACAAACACTCTTGGTAAATGGAATACTGCATCAATGGAAAAAGATATACGACCTCATATGTTAATGTTCCTCCAGAGGAATCGGGTTGACGAAGCGTGACGCTCGAAATTATGCCGTTCGCGGAGAGAATGCAGATGGCTCGTGGCCCTTGTTGAGAAAAGGAGAGAACTTTCATTGTAACGTCCTGAAAACAATACAACAAACGTCTTGTTGTTGCATCCAGATATAGAAATATCGACTAATCTAATTAACATTAAGCTTAAAAAGGAAGTAATCAAGTTTCTGATAGTAAATTCATAAAACTTCACACTCAATTACCTCACCGGTATTGACAGTGATGATATGGGGAGTGAAATTTGCACCAACAGAACAAGCTACCCATTCACCTATACAAAGAAGTAAAAATAATTAAACAACTTTTTTTAGTTCTAGTTTCAACCTTTAATTTAGTCATTAAATGTCAAAATAAAAAGTAAAAATTTGAAATTTCTACGACTATAGGACTATAAAGTGAAACTAAATAGACTAAGGTGTATTTGGGAGTGACCTTGGTAGGAGTAAAATCACTTTTTTCATTATCAAAATCACTTTCCTTTAGAATATTGATATTTGGCAGATAAATAAAATTGATTTTGAAAAAATAAAATCAATTTAAATTTATTTTAAAAGAGTAGTTGAGTGGTGATTTTGATCAGATTCATGGCGTCTCAAAATTAAACATTATTTACAATGCTAAAATTGTCCTAAAAATATATTCCAATATATTTATGTTATATATTTAGCACCAATGGGCATTATATTTACCACAATAAATGACCATTTTTCAAAAATTTAATTATAAAATAGATATTTATAAAATAATAAATCAATAGTAATATGCCCAAAAAAATCAATGCAGTATTAATTATAAAATAATTAATATTTTTAGTTATATATGAAAAAAATTATCATAGTAAATAGTTAAATAATTATTTAGATCAAATTAAAATTATATACAAACTCTAGAGACTAAATTTATCCTTATAATTCAAACTTTTAAAACTATAATGATAAAATTGAAATTATACTCAAAACTATGAGAATTTTGTACCTAAATTCTCCATTTCGAACTTGGTTTTGCTCAGCAATCCCGCCGGCCGGATTCTCCCTCGTCTCTCCGCCGCGAAATCAATCACCGCCGCCGCCTGTGCCGGCGCCGACGCCGATATCGGCTTCGGCGACAGC